CAAGGATTTGTAACCCACCTCTGACATGTACTGGATTTGTGACACCAGGCAAGTTATGTAGCCTCTCAGTATTCTTGGCAAGTGTCTAAGAGTGTAAGTTGAAGAAAAGGTACAAAACTGCATTGATGAGGGAGTTTGTATGCACACACACGTCGATAGAGGCAGAGCAGGAAAATAGAAAGAGTGGAAAATGTGAAGGTAGAGCCCCTGGTTTCAGATCTTGGCTGAGCTATTTACTCTCTGTGGGCACATCACTTTACCTGCCTGAGCCCCAGCTCATCATCTGTAAAATAAAGAGGCTGGATTAAGTGGCCTCTGTGATATATATCTATATATGTGTATAGATATGTATGTAGGAGGGATGATAAATGGATAGACAGATAGATGATAGAAAGATAAATGGATAGACACATGATAGATGATCAAAAGATGGATAGACAGATGACAAATAGATGATAGAAAGATAAATGAAAAATGATAGATACATGATAGATGATAGAAAGATGGATAGCTAGATGATAGATAGATAGATTATAGAGGATAGAAAAAGACATCTGTGAGAACAAGACAGAGAGATACCAGCCACATAGGTGCTTAATAAATACTTTTTGATCTATTAATTAATACTCAACGTAAGTTTCTATTGTTGGTTTTAACCATTTTCATCTAGCAGGATTTGGACTGTACAACTTTAAAAACATCACTTAGCATTTTTCCTGGTTTACGGTTGACTAGTTATAACCTTAAACTGCTTTCGTAATAATGATTGAAGAACTAACAAATAAATGCAAACTTATTTGTTAGAATTTCTTCAAGAAGTCTTTAAAAGGATTAAGTCTTCTTCAGAATGCAGTTTTATAATGGAGCCAAAGTAGCCCCTTAAATGTCACTAGTACCTGTATTAATATATCGCTAGATACATTATATATCTCCAGAGTGACATATTTCATGTTAAATTAGTTATCCTTGTTCTGAAGTGACTCTGCAAGGAATAAGCCTAAAGGAGTAGTGCAATTCATCAAGTTATTTCTGAGAAAGCAGGATTTTAGTACTTAGTCTTAGTTTGTAGCTTTGATTAATACAAGTCTTTACTTTAAAGAAAAGTATTTTTTTGCATTTTCAATATTAATATACCACTGGTAATATTAAGTATAAAATTAAGATAATGTAATTAAATAGACTGTGCCAATACATTAGTGATATGCATAAGGATAAAGGAAAGCTTTATAAGTATTTCTATAAGTGTATAAGTATGCATATATACATATAACATATGTATGTATGTATTTATATATATATTCATTTGTGTTGTCCTTTTTAGTTGATTAGAATTTATAGAATGATTCTCAGGCTTTCCAAAGAATTATATGTGTTTGTGTGAGTGTATACACACATGTGTATAGGTATACACACACACACACATATATACATATATGTATATACACACATGCATATATATACACATACATATATACACACACGTACTCAGCTTTGCAGGCTGAAACTAACATCTATTAAGGTTCTAGAGTTATTTCTTGGCAATTAACTCTAGTAGTGTTAACATTCCTAAAAACTATAAAAAAATTTAAGAAATCACATATTACTAAAATTATTTTTACCTCCAAATGATTAAGCTTATGTTTGTAGCACTTGAGGGAAATTATTCCAAAAGTTAAAATGAAAAGTTAGGCTAGACTTATGATAAAATATGAAAGGGGGTTATCTATGAATTTGATCATGAATTTTCTCAGAAAGGAAATTCTTATTATAAACCATGTGGTCATGATAATATTATATCTTCTGTGCAATAAACTCTATATGTTTGTTGTTGAGGGTTTTTTGTTTGTTTGATTTTATTTTAGGGGAGAAGGGTAAGGTGGGGGAAGTCCAAACCTAAAAGTTCACAATTTGGACAACTTTCAGGGTAGAAATTCCAAAGTGTGATACGTTTAAGTCACTCATATGTAATTTCTAATCTTAGAAATTTCTCAGTGGGCATCTTTGATGAAACGTGTTAACCATCTTCTGACAGAGATATAACAGAATGAATTGCGGAGGCATGCATTTTAAGACATGTCCATTATATAGACTTCTTTTACTTGACTATGTTTATTTGTTGCAAGTCTCCTTTCCCCATTCTCTCTCTGGTAATGGGGGTGGGGAGATGAGGACAAGTGCCTGTGTTGGCTGGAAATAGTGATTTTTTAAAAAGAGAGAAAGAAGAGAGAGCAAATTGTAATTCTGTTTTAGTTATTGTTATTATTTTTTTTAGTTATGTAAATGCATAGAAAAGAACAGAAGGAAGTTGTGAAGGAAGCACAAATAAGCAGGATAGTTTTGAAAGTTATGCTTAGAATTTTATATATACATATACATTCAGACATATATATCTAAATATCCACATATATATGTGTATATATATATATGTATACACACACGATAAGCTAGTAGCATGAATTAGAGATTCACAATTTCATATGGAATCCTCTTCTCATATTCTGCTGTGTGTTTGGAAATATTATCCCCCTGCCATCCACTCTTCCAACCTTTGTGTGAGTGTGTGTGAGTGTGTGTGTGTGTGTGTGTGTGTGTGTGTGTGTGTGTGTGTGTTTTAGTTTAGAATGAAAAAAGTTGAAGAAGGAAAAATAAATAAAGTAGCCTGGGATACTGGAAGATTAGATGTCCTTTGGGAGGATTATTGGCACCACAGCCCATCAAAAAGGCTTCATTTGGGGTTTTCAAGGCAAAGATGATCTAATGGTTTGCTATTTCCTTCTCTAACTCATTTTACAGCTGATTAAACTGAGACAAACAGGGTTAAATGACTTGCCCAGTGTCACACAACTTGTAAGTGTCTGAGGCCAGATTTGAACTTAAGAAGATGAGTCTTTCTGACTCCAGGCCCAACACTATTAACTGCACCACCTTGCTGCTCCTGTCTGACACACAGTAAGCTCTTAGTAAATGCTCTGTCTATTCTAGTTATCTAGTTATCTAGGTATCTGTCATCTACTTTTGGTATCTACCTTCACTCCACTCATCTGTGGCCCAGGAAGCCATCGGGTGCACAGCAGCCACACCTAGTAAACCATTTCATCAGACAGGTAATATACAGATTGACAGGCCTCAAACCTGTAGGTGAATTAGGGAGATGTCTACCCCAAGTATGTGAAGATTCTCCCAGTGGAATGAGTGGATGAGAACAATTTGTTCCAGTGACCATGAAGGCAGCTACGAAGTGGGTGCATTGGAGTGCTTAGAGCCTGGTCAGACATCAAAGACACCAAGGTCATCTACTGCACTCAGGTCTATCACCAGTAATCCTGACTTTTGTCCTAAACTTTGATGACTCTGAAAGAGAATGAAGCTGATGATTTTTCACAATTCCACCCCACTTAAATACAGTTCACATGCAAATCAAGACATCACCCCCATGTTGTCACTGGTCCTTTTCAAAAACGAAGGACAAAAAACAACAGTATCATCGGTCTGTGTCTCTCTCTGTCTATCATCAGTGGAAAGCCACTGAATTTTAGGAAAATCACTTTAGCCGATACAGAAAGGATGCGTTGGAGACAGAGAGATTTGAGGCAGGGAGACCAATTAGGAAGCTATTGAAATAATATAGGTAAGAAGTGATGAAGGCCTATAATAGGGTGGTGTCTGTTTTAATGGAAAAAAGGGAACCAGACAGAAGAGATGTGGAAGTTGAAATGACAAGATACGATTGGTGGTATGGTGGTATAAATGAGAAGGAAGAGTTAACAGTGACCCCCAAATTATAAATCTATGTATTAGCAAAGATGGTGGTGATAATAGGTAAGTTTAGAGAAGGACAGGGTTCAAGGAAAAGAAAATATAATAACATCTGTAATCTGCAATAACCCACTCCTGTCTATTCTTCCTGTGGGGCTCACTCTGACCCATCAAAGACAGAAAGAGGGAGGTTTGATACTTACTCATTTCTCATTGTCTCAGAGGATAGAGCTTGCCTCTAGGGAGCTTCTATTACAGTCAGAAGGTGATTTGGGGAACAGGGGGTGGGTATGCTTAGAGAGGAATGAGCAAAATTTTTCCAATGGCACTTAAATAGCAGCTTCTTTGGGTGTCCAGGAGCAGTTAGGTAAGGACATCCTACTTAGGTACCTGCCTCAGAACAAGGAGGTTGCTGGCTTGCATGGTGCTCAGAGTAGGGGAGTTTTTTATTTCTCTCTCTTTTTTTTTCCTTTTCCTTTACTTTTCTTTTTTTCTTTTTGGCAGGGGAGGTATAAGGAAAGGTGTAGTTGTGCTAGAGACAAGCCCCTTAATTGTTTGGGTGTGATGAAACCCCGTATTTCCACCTTTGTTAATCCCATACCCCTTGAGCTCACGCATAGCTAGCTTGGGTTGTGGCCACGACTCCCATGAACACCCAGACACACCTTAAAGACCATTGGACCCTAGGTGTTGAGTGAGATGTGCGTTTTCAGATATGGTCAATATATTGATTTGTTTTGCTTGGCTATATTTTGGTCATTTCATGGGAATTCTCATATGGAGAGTGGGAGGTTAGAGTTGGTTAATGATAGAGAGACAAAATATACAAGCCAAAAAGAGGGACTTCATTACAAAATTAAAAATACACAAAGGAAAACAAAAACTTTTAGAAGGGGATACAGATACAGAGGGCAATGTTGTCAATACTCTATTTAATATACATTAAAAATAAAAACGATATTCACCACAAGTTCACAGTTTGTATAATTCTCTTTTTTCTTTAGATATCAAAGACTCGTGCTTATCAATGATTGTTCAATTCATAACATAAACACCCTTAAAAAGAACAACTCATTCGTAAACATCTATGTGGTAGCAATACTGTATTCATTGGCTAAAGTTCACAAGAAAACTCAGTTCCCTGCTTTGCTTAGCTGCTCCACAGATGTGTAGCCTCCATGAATACTAAAGCATTCCTCATTCATTGTAATCACTTGTTTTTTCTGCTTCAAAATCAAAATTAGAACTTTCATATGCTTGGATCTTCAATGAATACCCATCATTTGTGCAAGAAGATAGTCGGCGATTTGTTTCTCAGGAGACAGGACACCTGTACATAGCCAAAGTGGAACCATCTGATGTGGGAAATTACACCTGTGTTGTGACTAGTACTGTTACAAACAACAGAGTACTAGGTTCTCCCACTCCTTTGGTGTTACGCACAGACGGTAAGTTTTTGTTTTAAAAATATAATTCTGGGCAAAAAAAAAAAATAGAAAACAAAATAAGAAAAAGAATTCTTTTTTGTCTAGTCTAGAAATAAGACCTGTCATATTTGCTTCATGGAAAAGCCAATAGGCAGAAAATTTTTGTCCAAGATGTGATGGAGTGAAGGAGGAGGGAGGGAAGTTATGATTTACATTAATGAAAAGAGAGCCAACATCAAAGATTATAGATTTAGAGCTCGAAGGGACCTCAGGTTATCCAATCCAACAGTCTTCATTTTATGGATGATGAAACTGAGGTATAGAGTGTGGGACTGACTTGACCAAAGTCAGGCAGGTTCAGAAATCAGCCAGAATCTGAACTAAGTTCCTCTCATTTTAAAAACCAGTGTTCTTTCTGTCAAACCATGATTAGATCATAGATGCCCCTGCTGTGAGATCGTATGAGTGGAATTTCCCAAATAATTTGATGCATTTCCCAGCCCTTATTGTGTAAGCAATACCTTCATCCTTCTTTGGGCTACTTTTAACCCTTTCAAGTCATGAAATAATTTTCATTACAGCAAACACATGAAAATCTGTTTAATCAGCTATTCAATAAACATGTTTTGAACATCAGTGTTCTAATGAACAAACATTTCCATGCCTTAGTAAATGATGCGTAACAAAATGATGCTGGAAAAGAAGAATGGGTACAGTTCTTTGACTATGTCTGTAGTTGAATTTGACCTTTAACAGATAGTAATTTTGCTTGCCACTAGTAAGCTCAAAATTGTTACACGTTCTATTAGGATCATTAAATTAATTGACCTACTGTTAATTCCTTAGAAAAATGTACTTGGAGGATGTCATAATAAATTATTATATTTTGTGATTACTTAAAGCAAAAAGAAAATAAGAGGGTTTTTTTTAATCCCTTTCTCTTGGAAAATTCAAGAACAATAATTTCCTCCAAAATGCTTTTTAAAATTAGATTTATGATACATTATGAATACCTGAATCAGAGAAAGCATGATGCAGAAGGAACAAATTGTTTCTGTCATCAAAGGACTTGGGTTTGGAGCCTAGCTCTCAGCCACTTGTCCCCTGTGTGATCTTGGGCAAGACATTTAATCTCTCTTGTCCTCATTTTCCTAATCTGTGTAATGAAAGGAGTGAACTAGATAACCCCTGAGCCTTCTTCTGGCTCTAAATCTATTATTCCTTGAGTCTATGAAGTGGTACATAATTGACCTGAAAAAAAATTTAATCTGGTTTCCAAAAATTCTCAATCCCTGGCTTAAAATGTTTTTAGCTGGAACAAAAAATATTTATTTTGGTTTCTCCCTAATCATCTCTTCAGTTGCCACCCTTAAGATTCATTGGAAAGGGAGTAGGGAGCAATAATTCTGTCTGTCTGCTTATCTATCTATCTATCTATCTATCTATCTATCTATCTATCTATCTATCTA